CCCCCCCCCCCCCGCCCGCCCCCCCCATAGAAGCTTGCCTTTCGCCTGCGTGTTAGTCTGGGGTTTGCCGTCTGGTGATATCCTTGACCAGGGAAAGATGTCTCTTGTTGCCGATCCGAGACTCAAGTGCTCAGCTGGCTGGCTGGGGGTTGCAGGCGTGTTGACTGGGAGCCTGGGGTGGCTGAGCTGTGTGTGAAGGCTTCCCCATCAAGGTTAGGACATCCATTTCCATCTGGCAAAACCTGATCTCCATGAACAGAGGGTCTGTGATAACACCAGGCCTTCACCATGGCCTTGAACTTGGACTCCAGCTCCAGGCTAGAGACAAGGAACAAGTTAGTAACACGGGGTGCCCACAGGAACCCCTCGGTGAACAGATTGTCAAACACGCCCAAGATGTCATTTGCCGACTTGAAGAACACATCCAAATTCCATCAAGGCCCCCCCCCCCGCACCCCCGTCTTTCTTCAGCATTTAATAATATTCTGGGTGTAGGTCTTCAGCTACAGTTTGCATAATGTTAACATATGACCGACTCTTGTGAATCTGTTTTCTATTAATTACACAATTTGTTGGTTGTTTTCAAGAATGTAGTAAATATCCATACGCTCCAAGAAGGCTCACTCTGACCTTTCCTTATACGTGTGATAGCACTTTATTAAATAAAGTTCCCCCCTGTTCCCCAGACTGCAGGGGCTCTGCCATGGTGGCTGCGATCTTTGCGAGGTTCCCGAAAAGCATCTCAGGTGTCCCCCACCCCTTGTGAATCAGACACGATGTGTGAACGTGCCTCTGTGGCCTGAAGCAAGTGGACCTGGAAGGGGCCGGCGGTGGCATAGCTCCTCGCACAGCTTTCAACACGTGTCTTTTCACGCGTGCTTAGCCGTGACCGTGGAGGTCGCCGTCGCCGGTTGCTCTGTGAATTTTCTGGAGCCGTTGTATGTGTAAAGGCTGCGTGTGTGTGAGTGTGTGTGTGTGTGTGTGTGTGAGTGTGTGAGTGTGTTCGTGGTTCGATGGAAGTGAAAGCAGCAGAGCTGATGGAGAAGCCCTCGGTGTGCGTTAGCTGCTGATAAGCTGGTGGAGTCCATCCCAGGGACTTCCATAACCGGGTGAGCAAAGAGCAAAGGAAAAGCATCCAGGCTGCGAGTTTCCTGGCTGTGGGCAGTCCTGGCTCAGCGCTGACTGCTGGTAGCATGTGGTACTGCAGCTTCCCACCCCCTTAGGAAGCTGGGCAGGCACTTACCAAACAGGTGGCCTGAGGCACACGCCCTGGGACCCCTGTGAGTCTCACTCTTGACTGTTTCTGTGACCAGAGGCTGCTTCGTGTCACCACCGGACGAGACCCCTCTTCCCTCCTCAGAGGCCAGGGGACGGATGGAAAGTTCCAGGCTCCTAATGGCACCATTGCTTGGGATCGGGTCGCCTACATCTTCTGGGCTCTTCCCAGAGGGTATTCAGGGTTCCTCCTTAGCTCGCTCACAGGGGAGACAGTCATGGGCAGGGGAGGTGGGGGCTGTGGGACAGAAAGGACGCAGGCCTCCCGGAGAAGGGGGGCTGAGGGGGGCTCTTGGGCAGGTGTTGCCACATGCAGCCACCCCCCCCCCAAAACCCTCGATTTGTGCCCGAGCATAGCACTCGTCCTTCAAATGGCTGCTAAGTTTTTTTCCGTGTCTGGTGATTGCATGTCATCTGCACCCTGAGAAAAACAAGCAGGGAGTCGAAAAATGATGATTTTTTCCTGGAAAAGCGTTCCCGTTATAGGCCTGCAATGGTGGCAGAGCCAAGGCAAACATTCAGAGGAGCTGTCCCGGGCCTGGAGAGATTGCGACACCCAGGGCCTGGGGCCAGCCCTCCTCAGGGCTGCGTTTGGGGCAGGTGGGTGGTGGGTCAGGAGGGGTGGGAGGTGGAAAGTGAGGGGTGCCCCTGGGGTGCCCAGGGAACTTCAGAACTGGGGGGCCCTTTCTGTGACGCCCCTCACTCCAGCTCATAGAAGCAAAAGGGTGTTCGTGCTGGAAACAGAATTCTGTTTCCCGGGGGCTGAGAGGGGCCCCGATGGGAAGGCTGTTCGCCGGGACAGCTCTGTCCTTTAGGGACACATGTTGGCTCTTGTTGGAGCTCCTCTTCTTTATTCCCCGTTACTTTATGGCACGGAGTTGGATTTAAACGTAGGGAAACAGCCTCCCACAAACAAAGGCATGTCCTTCTTTCCAGGGGACTAGTGGGATTTGGAAAAGAGGGAAGGTCCAAGGAAAATATTCCGAGTGTCAGGGATGGATTCCGAGTTGACGGATGTATCCAGCTGCCTGCTGGCCACCCTCCCCTGTGCGTGTGTGCGTGTCTGTGCGTGTGTTTATGCAAGTGGCTCAGTGGTTGACGGTCGGCCTATGAACCCACAGGTCAATGGTTTGGTTCCTGGTCGGGGCACGTGTCAGAGTGTTGTGTGCAGGAGGCAGCCGATCCATGATTCTCTCTCATCAATGTTTCTCTCTCTCCCTCTCCCTTCCTCTCAGAAATTAATTAAAAAATATATTTTTTTTAAAAAGAGGATGGAGCCGGAGTCTGGGGGTTGGAGGCGTCTCGAGGCTTCTGAGGTTTTGGCCCTGCAGCCGGGCTGTCTGCAGCTCTGTCTGCTCCCCCAGCCCTGAGACACTCGCTGTGCGTGCCCTGGCCCAGCCCGACGAGGTGAAGACTCCCTTCCTAGCGAGACTAGCTTTGGTGTGGGTTTCTCTCCGCCCCCACATCTTGTAGTCGAGCTGTACCTCCGGATCCAGGCACCCCATCCTGCGCCATCTTCCTTGAGTTCAAACCTAGACTCATGGCGGCCACATTGCTTCCTGCTGGAGAGCCACGGGGAGGTTGATGCTGCGAGCACACTGCGAGCCAGATGTTCCCTTCTCCGTGGCAGAGAGGCGCCGAGTGCACGGGCATCTGGGGAAGGGCTTCCCTTTAAGGAAGACATCTGCGTGGAAATGGTAGCGCGTAATGCGATGTGACAGTTGCTATGTCAACGCGTGTGTTTCCCCTCCCCTGAGACGATTGACGGGCGGGGCCGGTGTGGCGTGAAGCCCCACAGTCCTTGGGACGGACGTGTGTTTTGCTTTGGCGAAGATGGCCGTCACTGTGGTTTAACTGCTGGGTTTGGGGGGAGGACTGCATATTTCTTAGATTTGTAATGGGCAGTGGTGGCTTGGACTCCAGGGGAGTGATGGTGAGCAGGGGGGTGAGGGGGCAGCTGGGGAGGCAGCAGGGGGACTTGAAGCCCCTTCTGTTGTGATTGAGGAAGTTTTGATCCTGGGCCAGTCCACGGACCACTCGCAGTTAGTGCGGGGAGATAAGACCTGTGCACGTCTGTGCATGCGTGTTCATGCTTGTGTGTGCGCGCACTGTGCTCATGCATGTGTGTTTGTGCACGTGTTCATGCATGTGTGTTTATCCGTGTGTGTGGGTGTGTGTGTGTGTGTGTGTGTGTGTGTGTGTGATAGAGAGAGAGAGAGAGAGAGAAGACTCCCCCCTCCTTGGTTCCTGGGATGGGGCATGGGACTTCCCTGTCTCTGCTCAGCTCCAGGCTATGTATCAGCTGCCTGTGGCCTCCCTCACCCAGTGACACCAGAGCCCAAGCTGGGGGCCTCCCAGGAACACTCCCCCAATACCCTCAGCAGCACTGACTCCCCCTCTGGGTCCTCGTGACACTTGGGCTCCCAGCTCGATCCCGCACCTCCCGTGCCCTGCCCCGTATTGGAGGGCTGGTTAGGTCTCTTCCTGTCCCGGCTGTCAGCTCCCAGGGGCGAGGACGGGCACCGGGGACAGCGCCGTGCAGGCATTCAGGGGTTGAACTCCGTGGCTCGTGCCGCCTCCGGGCAGCCCGGCCCGGGGAGTTAGCCTGAGGGACCTCGCTGTCTTGACTCGTTTGGGGAACCTTGGAGTGTCACGGAATGAAATCCATTCCTGACATGTGCTCTGTGGCCCGCATCACCTGTCACCCGGAGGGAGAAGGAAATTAAATTAGTTCAGCAAGGCTGACCTCCCTGACGAGGCGTGCCCGTGGGTGGCTGTCACCACTGCACACGCCGCCGGCTGCAGGTGCCTGGGGTCCGGAGCCAGGGGACGCTGATCAGAATCGCATTTTCCCTTCAAAGCCATTTTCTGACTCTCCGATCTCGCTGGCCCCGGGTCTCAGCTGCCCTAGGCGGGGTCTGCAGTGTGTCAGTCCAGATCTGCGCCCATCCATGTCCAGTGGGCACGGCCTCTCTCCCAGGGCTGGGCCGCGTTCCTGCTTCCTGTCTCCTCTCAACTGGTATCATGCTTTTCTGACCAGATGCTGCCACTCTCCAGAGGGCTGATTCTATTTTCCAAGAGCCGTCTTTTCTTTCTTTCTTTTTTTATTTTAAATAAATTCTTATTGATTTCAGAGAAGAAGGGAGAGAGAGAGAGAAACATCCATGATGAGAATCATGGATCGGCTGCCTCCTGCATGCCCCCTACTGGGGATGGAGCCCACAACCCGGGCATGTGCCCTGACAGGGAATCGAACCGTGACCTCCTGGTTCATTGGTCCACACTCAGCCACTGAGCCACGCCAGTTTGGAGGGCAGCTTATTTTAGGCCTGTCCCTCATTGTTACGTAGCAGCTTAAGATTCATTTTGAAAAAAGCAGTTCCGTCTCTTTGGTGACAACTTGTGTGACTAATGAATGCCCTGCCCCCCGCCGTGCAGCTTCCCAGGCATCACCCAGACACCGAGACCTAACAGCTTTCCTGTTTGAGACCGTCTTAGTACATCCCACATCTGTGTGCCAGCGACACACTGTCAGTTAATTGGACGTCTCTTATTGATTCATCTTGTTAAGCAAGAAGAATGATCCTGGGGGCTTTATAAGGCTCCTGTGCGTTCCGGTAGGTGCCATTTTGAACATGAATTTCGTTGAATTAATAAGGCAGATGTCAAGCGATTAATTGGCCCTTCGCTCCCAGCCGGCTCTGTCAATCTGGGGACTATGGTTGGGGCTGATGACATGCCACTGACGTGTGGATTGGGTGCTGCGGGTCTTCGGAGAGGAGGGGCTGGCTGGGCAGAGTTATGGTTAATAACTGGCTAATGCCACTGTGGCCTGGTCTTCACCCACAACATTTGCTTCCATGTCGTGAGCTTGGTATTGAATGGTGAAGGCTTTTGTTTTCTCCTCCATGCTACCATTTTCCTCCCAGTCTTCAGCGGACAGAGTTTGACTGGGAAGATGTATCTTTTTATTTTGTGGCTTCTGGACCCCCTGGGCTCAGACACCTGGCTTGAGAAGCAGGTATAAAAATGGCAGTAAGCCCGGTCGGCGTGGCTCAGTGGTTGAGTGTTGACCTATGAACCTGGAGGTCTCAGTTCGATTCCCGGTCAGGGCACATGCCCAGGTTTCGGGCTCGATCCCCTGTAGGGGGCGTGCAGGCGGCAGCTGATTGATGATTCTCTCTCATCATTGATGTTTCTGTCTCTCTCCATCTTCCTTCCTCTCTGAAATCAATAAAAATATATTTAAGAAAATAAAAATGGCAGCATAAGGGGTATAGAGAAAATACCACAGGAGAAATAAACGGTGGTACATCCATTCAATGGCATAGTATTCAGCACTAAAAAAGAATGTTGAGAATCCAGCCGTGAAAAGACACGGAGGAACCATAGATGCTACCAGGCATAACCTTTCCCTTGCACGGCAACGGTGGCTGATGCTGCCGACACCGCCTCTGGTGACCGGCTGGCTGGGTGTGTGTCATCACCTCCTCTTGGCTTTCTCTCTAGTCGTGGCTGTTTACCTAAAGGACTCCTGGTGGGCCACCGAAGACGTCCTGAGGACTTCTGACCCTGCAAGAGAAGGCCTGGTGAAGGTGAGGTGCTGCCACTTAGAATGGACATTGCAGAAGGTTTTAAGAGTCATCTTGCTGTTACCCTGTAAAATCCCCCGTCCCTTTAATTACATTTTGTTTCTTAGCGAGCTCTTCTTCACCAGTTACCAAAAAGAAAGCTTGCTTAATGTTCTTTCTGTTAACATAAATAGTGGCCCTAATTTAGGGATTAGAACAGGTCTTATTTTTGTGTTTCCAGAAACGTTTCTAAGTCAGCATCTCATTCTGCACATTATCTCCCCCCCCCCGTCATGAACCTGCACAGATTAAGTGCATTTTCTTTCTCTCCTCTTCTGCTGCCAGCTTTTGGCTGGATGTTTCCCTTCAGTTGACAGTTATAACCTCCCACATCACACCGACCGGGTGTTGTGACAGGGTCGTTATGCTTAACTCTGAACTCGATTTGGCTGTTGCTGTCTGAGACACCGAATTGGGGTGGCTTCTCAGAATTAGCTGGTGTGGCCCGGCCAGTGTGGCTCAGTGGTTGAGCATCGACCCAGGAACCAGGAGGTCGCCGGTTCGATTGCCGGTCAGGGCACCTGCCCAGGTTGCAGGCTAGATCCCCAGTAGGGAGCCTGCAGGAGGCAGCTGATCCACGATGCTCTTCTGATCAATGTTTCTATCTCTCTGTTCTTCTCCCTTCTTCTCTCTCTAAAAATCAATTTTAAAAAACATATTTTAAAAAAAGAATTAGCTGGTGAGGTTTTCACAAATCTTTTTCTCATCTAAGATTTGGCTCCAGATAAAGGTGAAATATTTCACATTCTGGGCCAATTAATAAGTTTACTGGCTCTGCACACTGTGTACCATTTGCTGGGATGCTGCAAGCTGCCTTCTTTTTATTAGCAGAGCTGTTGAAAAGCAGACTAATGTTTCAGACACCACTTAGGTGGTCTTTTCCCTAGACCGGCCGAGGAAACAGGCTTAGAGAGGTTGAAGTTGCAAATGTGGACCAAGAAGCCACAACCACAGATGATCATGATCATGATGGTGAAGAAAATGTAAGGGTCAAGTATTAAATATAAAATTCAGCCCAGCCAGCATGGCTCAGTGCTTGAACATCAACTTATGAGCCAGGAGATCATGGTTCGATTCCCAGTCAGGGCACATGCCTGCATTGCAGGGGGCAGCCTATCGATGATTCTCTCTCATCATCGATGAGTCTCTCTCTCTCCCCCTCTCCCTTCCTCTCTGAGATCAATAAAAACATCTATTAAAAAAAATTACCATTTGTATGAAGCTCCCCTTCCCCAGAGCCTCAGTTCTAATGGGTGACGGGCAGGAGGCAGCCGCTGGCCGGCTCAGCAGGTGCACCGGCCCGGCCTGTCCCCGGGCCTGCCTGTCCCGGCAGAGCCCCCATCCGGCTGCCATCAGCCCTCTTCGCAATGAGGCAGGAAATCAGTGACTGTGTCACCTACCCTCTCTGAGCTTCAAGTTCCTCACCTGCAAAGCGGGACCACCCGGCAGGTGGTGAGGACCGGATGGCAGCAGGTGGGGCCGACTGGTGTGAAGGTCACGGGTGTGAAACCTCCGTGAGAAACAATGCACATCTTGGCCTCGTGCATGAGAAGGACCATGGGTGGGCGGATGCCGAGCGCAGGATCCACCGCCTCTGCTTTCCCCTCCGCCTCACTGGCTCGCTCTGCTTTCCTTCAAAGGTCCAGTCATTCGGGGAAAGGATTGTGCTCTTCGTCCTCAACGTCGTCATTTTTGGAAGGTTGGAGAGGAACTTGGATGACGATGCCATGTTCTTCTTGCCTCACTCTGGGAAGGAGGAAGCTAAAATCCTGTGGAGGGACGGAGCCGCGGTCGGATTTTACACAACCAAAGCGAAAGGTGAGTGGCAGGGCCGGGCCACGGCCATCTGGGCCCTCTGGGCCAGCGGCCGTGAGGTCTGAAAGGTTGGCGACCGCTGCTCTGGGTGGCCTCCTGCCCCCGCGGGCCCCCAGCACAGGCCTTGCTGGGGGAGAATCTCCGGGGACAGCAGGTACCACTAACTCAGCTGTCATGTAAACGAACCCAAGGTACAGCCCTCATTCTCACCCGCTTCTCCTCGTGCTGGAGAAGGGCTGAAACCTGTCCCTTTGGTTCCCAGCCTGGGCCACGTTGCAGTTAATGGTGTAAAATCCTTGTTGCAGTTAATGGTGTAAAGTGATTTGCAAGCACTTTGCTTTTCATTTCTTCTCTGGAATGTTACCATTAGCTGTCAGGACAGTACCATCGCTGGTGGCTCACGCGTGCGGAGCACACTGCGTGCTGAGATTCGTGGATGGGACCTCGGGAGCAGGGGAGGCCGCCACCACAGCGGGGTCAGGGGGAGGCCGGGGGTCAGTTTCCGGGGGCTGTGGCAAGAAGTGCCTGGGGCAAGTGCCATTTGCCAAAGGGATCGGTCTCTTTAGAGTTGCTTTCTGAAAAAGTTTTTAACTTTTTGAAATTTATTTTTAAATTATAGTTGATATATAATATTAATTTCAGGTGCACAACATAGTGAGTAGGCATTTATATACCTCGCAAAGTGATCACCCCAATAAGTCTGGTACCCATCTGTTCATGTGCTTTCTTTAAAAAAAATAAAAATAAAAAATAAAAGGTTTTTTATTGATTTCAGAGAGGAAGGGAGAGGGAGAGAGAGAGAAACATCAATGATAAGAGAGAATCATTGATCGGCCTCCTCCTGCACGCCCCCTACTGGGGATCGAGCCCACAACCTGGGCATGGGCCCTGACCGGGAATCGAAGTGTGACCTCCTGGTTCATAGGTGGATGCTCAACCACTGAGCCACACCGGCTGGGCTAGGACTTCCCCTTTCAATTGCAGCTGCTTTCCTTGTCCTGAAATTCCATCTCTGCCACCGTTAGCTGGTAAGGCTTCAGCTTTTCCCATCACTGTTCTCTGTTGCTTTGGGGGTTGAGTTATACCCTGTGGCCAGTAAGCTTTTGTATAAAAATCTAAAAGAAACAGCTTCCCGTTTCGGGTTCCTGACAGCCCAGCTAGTGCTGGCGCAGCCCTGGGAAGCGTTCAGTCAGGTGATTGGCAGCCGGACAAGCATGTGACCTGGGACGTGGCAGGGATGCGTAGAGGTGCCCAGGGCCTCCTGTTCGCCCCTCCCCCAGACACCCAGGGCCACGGGCACCTCCTGTCCAATTGTCCGTCAGGCAAGACCCTCGTGCATCTGCTGGCCTTTAGCAGAAACATCAGCAGCCAACAGTGGAGAGGCCAGAGTGCGGTGTTGTTCACGTTCCAGCTCCAGCACCCGGGGAGAGGGATTGCTGTCCCCCCCGACCAAGGGCTTGCAAGAAGGGGGTAGAGGAAGGGAGCAGGGGATTCATGGAGTGCAGCCGGCTTCTCACGCTGGGCGGGTGCCCAGCACCTGCTCCATTGCCACCTCTGCAGACCAGCCTCCTTCACTCCCTATGTTCCCTGCTTCCTTATAGCCTCGGCCTTAGTTTGCCGAGCTGCCCACCTGGCCTCCAACTGTACTTGCCTTAAAGGGGCAGGACCTCGCCCTGGCTGGTTTGGCTCACTGGATAGAGCGTCGGCCTGGGGACGTAAGGGCCCCAGGTTCGATTCCAGTCAAGGGCATGTACCTTGGTTGCAGGCACATCCCCAGTAGGGGGTGTGCAGGAGGCAGCTGATCGATGCTTCTCTCTCATCAATGTTTCTAGCTCTCTATCCCTCTCCCTTCCTCTCTGTAAAAAATCAATAAAATATATTTTTTTTAAAAAGGGGGGGCAGGACCTCCCATAGTCCTGTTTCCTCTTCATCATCTCCTGAAAGAATGAGATGCTCAAGTGCATCTTTTAAGTACAGTTTTAGTACAACTCATTGTATCCTTTTAAAGTCAGCGTTACAGCCCATAGAAGCTGCCGATGTAAGTGTGCCGTTCAGGGACTTTAGCAAATGTAGAGAGTGTCGCCAGCACCCCACGAAGGGCCTGTGTGGGGTCAGTGGCTGCTTCCACCCAGCTCTAGGCGCCCGCCGACCTGCTCTGTCCCCATCACTGTGCCGTTCCTGGACATTGCGCAGAAAGGGACGGATGCGCTCTGCGGCTTCTGTTCTGACATCTGGCTTCTCTCACTTACCATGGTGTTTTTGAGGTTTATCCAAACGGTAGCAGAGATGAGTATTTCTTTCCTTTTTATTGCTGAGTAACGTTCCGTGCTGTGAATGTGCCCCGTTTTGTTTGTGCATTTACCGGAAGGGTTTCCAGGTTGGGGCCGTTATGAATAAGGCTGCTGGAAGCGTGCACGTACCTGCCTTTGCATGGGTGTGGGCTTTCATTTCTTTTGGATGGATTCCTGGAAGTGGAAGGGCTGGGTCGTTTGCTAAGCCTAAGTTTAACTTTTTAAGAAACTGCTGAATTATTTGACACAGTGGCTGTAACATTATATATTCCCAGCAGCAGTATATGAGGGTTCATTTCTCCACATCCTGTCAACACTAAGTACTGCATGTCTTTTTGATTATGGCCGTTCTAGTAGGTGAAAAGTTCTGTTTCACTATGGTGTTTTTAAAAATATATTTTTATTGATTTCAGAGAGGAAAGGAGAGGGGGAGAGACAGACATCAATGATGAGAGAGAATCATTGATCAGCTGTCTCCTGCACGCCCCAACTAGGGATCAAGCCAGGAACCCAGGCATGTGCCCCGACCGGGAATTGAACAGTAACCTCCTGGTTCATAAGTCAATGTTCAACCACTGAGCCACGCCAACCAGGCTCACTGTGGTTTTAATTTGCATTTTCCTAGTGACGAAGGATATTGAGTATGTTTCCATTGATTGATACAATGAATTGTATTAAAACTGTTCAGATCACCTGTCCATTTTTTATTGATTGCTTGTTTTCATTTTATTGAATTGTAAGAGTTCTTTATATATTCTGGATATGTCTTTTTATCAGGACTGTGACTTGAAAACATTTTCTTATCGGCTAGTCTTTTCATTTTCTTAGTGGTGTTTTCTGAAGTACGTGGTTTTTTATTTTGGTGAAGTCCGATTGACCCATTGTTTGTGGTTTTGGTGTTGAATCTAAGAGCTGTTTGCCTAACCCTAAACTAGGTTGTGAAGTTTTTTTTTTCCTAAAACTTTGTGGTTTTAACCTTTACATTTATCTCTAAATCCATCTTCAATTAATTTTTTATATGGTGTGAGGTAAGGGTCCAACTTCATTTTTAAAATACTGACTATAGCCCTGGCCAGTGTTGCTAAATGGTTAGATCGTCAGCCCGCACACCAAACAGTCTTGGGTTTGATTCCAGGTCAAGGACAGGTACCTGGGTTGCAGGTTCGATCCCCGGCCCAGGTTGACCAATCAATGTGTCTCTCTCATCGATGCTTCTCTCTCTTTGGGTCTCCCCTTCCCTTCCACTCTTTCTAAGAATCAATGGAAAAAACATCCTCAGGCGAGGATTAACAAAAAATAAAACAACATGGCTGACCAGTCAGTCGGCAGGAGGACTGGCGGACGGAGGAGAGATGTCGTTTTGTCTTTGGTGGCTAGTGTGTGAAGACGGTGCCCGCGGCGTCCTGGCAGGTTGGTACAGGCCCAGGGGACAGTGTGTCTCTTGACGTCCCCTGCAGGCAGCCTGTGCGGCGATGGCACCGGCACGTGCTACCTGCTGCCCGTCTTGGACACCGTGTTTGTCCGGAGGCGACATCGCGGCCAGGGCCTGGGCGTGGCCATGCTGCGGGACTTCTGCGAGACATTCCCCGACGACGAGGCCCTAGGGGTCAGCTGGCCGATTTCTCCCGCCATGTACCAAGGTAACCCCACCTGTGTCAGGGAGAAGCGTTTGGTCAGGGGGAGGGATACCCGTGCATCCAGGTGACACATAGGGCGGGCCTCTTTCTTCTGAGAAACCTCTCATGGCTTGAGCACAAACGAGCCTTTATCACAAGGGCCAGACCTTGCCCAGCCTGGGAAACCATTGGGTTTAGATGTAGTGAAAACAGCCCAGCCAGTGTGCTCAGTGGTTGAGTGTTGACCTATGAACCGGGAGGTCACGGTTCGATTCTCGGTCAGGGCACATGGCCGGGTTGCGGGCTCCATCCCCAGTAGAGGAGGTGCTGGAGGCGGCCGATCTATGATTCTCTCTCATCATTGATGTTTCTCTCTCCCTCTCCCTTCCTCTCTGAAATCAGTAAAAAAAAAAAAAAAAAAACCTCAAAAAAACAAATCCACACCAGGCCTGAGAGCCGCAGAACCCAGCGATCTGCTGCTGGCCCCACCTGCCTTTGCTCCTGTGCTCGCTCGGAGTGTGTAGCTCCTCGCCTGGCTGCAGGGTGCCCGGGGCTGGAGGGGAGGCAGCGGCTGGCAGGCAGAGGCCGTGCCCGGTACGTGGGGGCAGGCAGTGTGCGGGGAGAGAAGCGGCTGCAGGCTGAGGCCAGGCCGGCTGCCCTGGGGCTGGACAAGGGGCCTCCTGCCCAGTTTCCGTCTGTGCTGCTGGCCGGCAATGCCAGAAGAGGGCCTGGTGGAGGCTTCCGGGCCCCGGGGGGACCAGGAGCAGGTTCCCCTTCGGCTGCATGTGGGTCATGGCAGGTGACAGTGCTCACCTGGGAGCGTGGGCATAAAAGCCCAGCCTTGAGGGCACTGGGACTCGAGGCGTCCACAGAGGATGAGCTGGAAGGTGCTGAGAAGAGGAGGCCCCTGAGGCCCGGGCGGGAGGAGGGACAGTGCTGAGGTGGGTGAGGCTAGGGGGTGAATTTGGTACCCCCAGTTCTCATGTTGAAGCCCTACCCACAATGGTTGTATGTGACGATGGGATCTTTAAAGGGGCAATGAAGGGCCCTGATCCAGTAGGACTGGTGAGAAGGGGTCCCATAAGGACGACACAGATGGGAAGGCCAGGTGAGGGCCGGTGAGAAGGTGGCTGCCCGCCGAGGAGAGAGGCAGCCCTGCGACACCTTGATCTTGGACTTGCAGGCTCCAGAGTTGAGCCAATAAGTGTCCTGGTTAAGCCCCTGTCCGTCCGTGGCATTGTGCTGTGGCTTCCTGAGCTGATGCAGGCGGGATGGACGAAGGGCCAGGATGGGTAGGGGGGATGGTGACAGGGCCGCGTGGAGCATGGGGCGGAGCAGAGTGCTGGGCGGGCTGGGCTGCAGGAAGGACTGGAAGGGGCCATTCCCGCGGAGTCCAGGCTGGGCTGGCCTCTGTGTGGGGCAGGCTTGTGTCCCCCCCCACCCCCCCGACTCAGACTCACGAGGGCCCCTTTCCTCAGTCTGTAGGAAGTTCCTGCTGGCCCATCCGGAGGAGCGGGCGCGCCTGTGGGAGGTGGAGCCCCCGGGAGCCTGGGGCCAGCGAGGCAGCATCTGGCTGAAGGTTCAGCTCCAACAGGCGGGGCTCCCGGCCCCAGAGTCGGCGTGAAGCGTGCACTTGGATCTCCTCATCCTCACGTCAGGGGCACAGATCCCTTTACACAGATGGAGTCAGGCCCGCGGGGGACGCAGCCGCCGCAGCAGCACCCGGTGTTGGCATCTCGTCCTCCCTCCACCTTCCCTTCCTGAGCGAACCACAGCGGCCAACCCCCTGCCCAAGAAGAGCGGAGCGCCCCGGCTCAGCTGGCTCCGAAGCTCCCTGTGACCAAGGGCCCCTTTGAGCAATTGAGCGGATCAGTGCCACCAGGAAGACGGTGAATTTCCTTGTCCAGCAGGAGATCAGTTGGAAACATATTATTTCAAAAGACACACAGGGTTTCCTGTGAAGAGCTGGCGCTTGTCCTTGGGGAGAAGAAGAAAAAGGGTTTGGCCCCGCCGGCGCGGCTCACTGGTTGAGCTTCGACCTGTGAACCAGAGGGTCACGGTTCGATTCCGGTTAAGGCACATGCCCAGGTTGTGGGCTCCATCCCCAGTGTGGGGCGTGCAGGAGGCAGCTGATCCATGATTCTCTCTCATCATTGATGTTTCTCCCCCTGCCTCTCCCTTCCTCTCTGAAATCAATAAAAATATATATTTAAAATAAAGGGGGGGTTTCATCCCATAAACATGCTGCAAATGAGTAGCTGGGTCTTTCTATGGGCAGCGGCGTGGTGTGATGTCCTATGGAGATGTCCTTGTCTACTTGGGCAGCCCCGTTACAGACTCGAGCACTGCCTTCAGTTTGGGGTGTTACCATGGAGTTTGCCGGTGGGGTTTCAATGGGGGGTATTTGCCTGGTGGGTCCCACGGGGAGGCGGGTGGGGATGGGAAGACCTTTACGTAGCCAGAGGGCAGCTGTCTGTGGGTCTCCACGTTGCTTTTCGCCACCTTGCAGGCTGCTACCAGCTCAGCCCTGAAGCGGGGGGCCTGGGGCAGGGCTGGATGGTGTGGGCACCCCCTCGCCCCCGCGCTGCAGGTGTGGGGGTGCCAGGAGACTCGGGAGGTGCTGATGAAATCCACTGGCCACGTGAAAGCATTGGCGCTCCTTCCCTCTTGGTGTCCGTGCCCTTCAGTGTCAAAGCCACCCCGAGGCTGCGGGGAGCTCATTAGAGGGCCGTTGTCCTCAGCCGGTGACAGGAAGAGTGCCCTGGAGTTTATTGGCGATAATAGTGATCATTTTGGCTTTTACAGTGCCTTTCAGCGCGAAGGCTTAATGGATCTTTACAGACATGAATGGGGTAACCAGGCACCTGGGAAGGAGGCCATGGCAGGGCCAGGGCTGTGATCCTAATGAGGCGGCTAAGTGACTTGCCCTGTGGCCTCGGGCGTTAGACATGCAGGCAGGCGAGCCTCCTGGAGCCCCTGGCCGAGCTGGCCGCCCGCGGGCTTGTAGGCGGTTTCACAAATGAGCCCGCAGCCCTGCCCTGCCCGTCCGTGTGCCTTGGAGGTTGCAGTTCCTGGGCTGGGGATGGAAGTGACTAATGGCTCGCACATCGGGTGCACAGGGCAAGGACGTGTCTGCATAATTGGGGAGATGGCGTTCTCTCAGGAGAATTGCACTGGGGGTGTGTGTGTGGCGGCGGCGGGCAGGGGGTGCTGTTATTTCAGGAGCCGAGAGTTGGCCCGGTCTGGTCAGGGCAAACCTAGCTGAAGTCAGCCACCAGAGCTGCCACTTTAACTCAGGCTGAGGTTCGCCAACTCTCTCTTTAAATCCGCAAATGAGGGGACTCTGACGGAGAATGTTCCAGAAGCACGCGTGAGCCCTTTGAAGAAAGAAGGGGCGTCATTATAATTAGGGTGTAATTAGAGTATGGAAGCGCTCTCATTAAAAAGACTTGTAAGTTATGGTCTTTCACTGCCTGTGAAGTCAGCGCTGGTTCCCAGCCTCCCCGCCTCCCCCCCAGCTCTGTCTCCCGGAACCAATAGGCCACCTAATGTGGTTTTAGTTTTTAATCAGCCACTTATTCTTAGAGTTGTTTTCTTGCCTTGTTCTGGTCTTTGGGCTCTATCCTTTGTCCCTTTATTCCTGAGCTTGATTTTGGAGGTTTCCTGTGCCTTAGAGATAAGCAGGAAACCAGTGGAGCCAATAGCTTTTTATTTTATTTTATTTTATTTTATTTTTGAGAGCGTGGAGGGGAGGGAGGAGAGAAGCATCAATGCGGGAGACACACATCGATTGGTTGCCTCCCACACATGCCCTTGACCCACACGCCCCAACCGGTGCCGGGGATCGAGCCTGCAACCCAGGTATGTGCCCGGAATCAAACCCGAGACCCTTTGGTCCGTGGGCCGACGCTCTAACCACTGAGACACACCAGCCAGGGCCTGTAGCTTGTCTATGGAAGTAAGGCATGGCCACGCCTCAGCGTTCCAGAGGGAGACTGTCTTCCCTCCAAACACTCTAAACTCTGTTTCTGAAGCAGCGTCACTGGCGGACTGGGGCTTTGAAAGTTTGCACGCTCCCGCCTGTGATAACATCTGGGGCTTATCATGGTCCTGGAAATATTGATGGGGTCATTCTGATCTTTCGAGAGGAGTTTGTGGGAACTGTTGTTCTCACTGCACTCGGTTGCATACGAAGCCTTTGAAACTGGACCAATAGGACCATAACTCTCTGGGCTGGGACTCCCCGGCTAGCTGGCACATGCCGGAGGCTTCTTTACTCGGGGAGATGAAATTGAATATGTCAACAGTTCTTTCACAGAAACGTTGCTGGAGGCAGAAGATAATTGCACACAGCTTTAAAAATTAATGTTTTTATTCTTGAGCTTATAGTTCTGCTTTTTTTCCAGGTGAATTTTTAATAGATTCGATTGTCATCCACAGGGGAAATACTTTTCTTCCATTTATGTGAAATTTTTAAAGCTGGGGGGAGTGTATAAAGGGCACGTGAACTGCCTGAGCTGGGGGGTGGGGGCATTTTCTTGATCTTGTCCCAGCTTGTCCTGGGGAGCTGGCTGTTACACAGTGCAATGGCAATAGCGATGTAATGGCAGCGAGCTCTGCTGGCAGTTCGGGGAGCAGAACCTCCGTGCTGTTGGATTTTCCTCTCATGCTGCTCTTTGAAAGGTTCTGTCTCCCCCTAGTGGCCATTGTAGCCTACTGCGTCCTGGACCTATTTGGTTGCTTCTCAAGATTCTTATCCTTGAGTTC